AACAAAGGAAAAGACATGACAACAGCCACAATGTGCTTCCTATGCCCAAACATGTCTAAACAATGAACGTTAGAAATACATTTTTATGCCTGTAATTTATTTTATTTTGATGTTTCAAATTTACTTTAATTTTATTAATTATAATTATTTTATTTTACATTATGGGGTTTGGTGTGATAATTCAATAACATGTATACAATATGTAATGATCAAATTAGGATAATTAGCACATAAATCCACAACTGCATACACAATAGCCAAACTTCATTTGTGGGCATGCTGCTCTCTGCATCCAGAAGTTTTCCAGATACCCTTTGATTGGTGTCTTGTCATATCTTCTTTCTTAACAGAACCTCAACTACTGGTGCTCAGGGATTTGCTCCATTCTCCTCACCTTTGCCTCATATGGACATTCTGTACAATATTCCAGAAACTTGCCAAAGTGAGGAAAAGCAGGACTAAGGATCTCACCACCCAGAAAGACTGACTTGATGAATACTTGGAGGAGAGGCAAGGAAGATTCTACCAGCTTTTACTGCAATAACATTTCCTGCAAAACAACCCTCAAAATATGTGAATAGATTGTAAAGACTAAGGCATATTTCTTACTCATGTCACTCAAGTTGGATGCAGAAGTTATGCTCTACATTTTGGGTTAGACTCAGGTCTAGGTTTTGTCTCTTTTCATGATCAATTTGAAGGAGCAATTCCTGCATGAGGTTTGTAATCCTCATTGTGGGGTGCAAATGATACGCAATAGAATGGCTGAGAATGTGAAATATATTTAAAAGGTCTAGCCCTTCCACAGACCATTTGTGCAGCAAGTCACATGTTTATGGTCATTAGTTGAGTTGGAAGTATGAGCCCTGCATGAAATCAAGGCAAAAACTGTCACTACATGAGTAATCAAGTCTACTATATGAGGAATTTGACCTACCCAGCAGGAGACATGTCAGTGATATGTGCATGTAGTTAATAACGAACTATTGTCTGTTGTGCATCAAGCATCCTATTAACTGATATAACCTTGCTTATATGAAATTCATAGTAATATCTTGAAGGCCAAAATATCTCACATGTATCTTTAGCATTATTTGGATGGACACAAAAATACTTAGAAGACTGGGGCAGGGGATGAAAGGCTAAATGTGATGGGTTTAGGGTTAAGAAAAATACTAGCTATGACTGAATCAAGAGGATTAAAGCACACAATAAGGTGCCGATTCTAATGTTTAGTGTAGAGTGCTTTACGCTAATGATCTAGGTAAGAAGCACTGAAGATCGACCTGAGAGCTAGTCACTGTCATTTGAAGAACTGTAGTCTCATACTTCATAAGGAAGAACAGACGTTCCACCTAAAAATTAGCCGGTAAAGACTTGCACAAATGAAAAATCCTTCCTTTATTCCTATAAAGTAGCTCTCATCACTAACTGACATAGCCATAAGAGTTTTCTCAGTATTAAAAATTAAAATTATTTCCAAG